TTGGCATAACATACTACACGAAAACATTGTTCTATATCCTACTTTGGTGAGTAGCAGTGGGGTCTTGGGAGCTTGCAAGCAGCTATCTAGAGACAATGATGGGTCAATCCTTGTCCAGAGCAAAGAAGAATGAAGAAAAACAAAGACGCATGGAAACAATTAGTCCTAGGGACTAGTGAACCATACGAACCTCAGCCTGTATGACCATGAGCCCAGAAGAATTAGATGGTGCCCAACTACCACTGTCAATCATTCAGAAAGGGACCAGTGCGGGGGATCCTACATAGAGTGGGAGAACAATGTGGAACTCAACTCAAAATTAAAAAAAAAAAAAAAAAGACCAGGCTTACTGGTCTGATCAAGCCTAGTGGGACCCTTGAGACTATGGCCCCTTTGGGCCTGGAACTGAACTCACTCCTGTCACTTCTAGACAGACACTGGACAGGCATAGTGGGTGAATGTTTACATCAGGTGGATACACCCCCTGGAGTGATCAATCATGGACACTGCACAGGGAGATAGCTCAGGGGGTGGTGGGAGTACATAGGAAAGAAGGACACAGGGGAGAGGTAACTACAGAGAGGAAGTGGGAGGGGAGCTGTTATATTGTGGAGAATTGCAGTCAGTGTCATGAAACGAAATGTGTATGAACTGCTGTATGGAAAATGAATTTGCTCTGTCAACTTTCACCCAAATCACAATAAAAAAAAGAGAGAGAGAGAGAATGTGACCATGTAGCTGCTTGCTTTCTAGCAGTGACTGAAATCCTACAGTTTGTGAATCCCTTCAGGTTCTGCAATTCTCCTACTCCAACACCTTTATCGGTGACATTATTTTATGTATCGTCTCAGCTCTACATCCACATATGCATCTTGGGGAGGCACACTTGCCTCAGTTCAGTACCTCATGGTCGCTTCCATAGTGAACCCTTCAACATACAGCTTGGGGAATGAAGACATGAAGGGGGCCCTGTGGAAGTTTCTCTGCAGTGAGTCTTCTTCCTTTTCCTCCTGTGATAGCACCAATGCCCTGTGCTAGACAAGTGTGTCTCAGGGCAATGGGGGAGAGCACCAAACAGTGTGAACTCAGCTTCCTGTTCTGGGTTGAAATCTTGATGCCACAACTAATAGACGGTGATTCTGAGAATGCTGCTCACCCTCCCTGTGTCTCAGTCTCCTCATGTGTGAAAAAGAGGCTATGACAACATGTGCCTCATAAGGTTGATGCGAGGATTAAATGAGCCCATATGGTGAAGCACCAGCAAGACAGATGTCACAGGTCAAGTACCAAGTAAATGCTGGCTGTTGTTACAACATAAAGAAGATCTGGTGGCATGGCACGTTAAGGCATTTGACTGCTAACCAGAATGTTGGTAGTTCAAACCCACCAGCTGCTCTGTGGGATGAAGATGAAGCAATCTTCTTCCATAAAGATTTACAGCCTTGGAAACCCAGAGGGGGTCACGATGAATCAGAATCGACTCAATGGCAGTGGGTCTGGTTTTTTGTTTTATTGAATTAATCATGTCATGCAACCATCATCAGTACCTGTTGCCAGTTCTCCATCACCATAAAGAGAAAAAACAATGACTGCCACGAATCTGAATTGACTCAAAGGAAAAAATGTTTTCTTGTTTCACTGCAGTTGGTTGGTATAGAGAAGTCAGGATGGTGGGTCCGACAGTGACATAAGCACTGGTGCTAAGGAGGCAGGGCAGAGTCGGAGTGAGGCCATCATCTTGGGCCTTCTGCTAGGTGAGGCCCACCAGCAGAAAGGAAGCTGCATGCAGTATCTTCTATTTATTTTAGTGTCCTCTGAGGTGAAAGTGAGCCACTGAACTCAATGTGGTCATTTGGCAGTGGTCACTGGTGGAAGCAACTTTCTTCGTAATTTCCCCAAAGCATGGGCTGGAGTGAAACAGAAGAGTCATACTGAGACAGGCCGGAGAGGCACAAGGTGGACAAAGTGAACTAGGACAGACAGACATGAGAGGAGAGAGGAGGTCAGGAAAGCAACACAGAGCTGAGTCCAGGAACCCCAGGAAAATACAGCCAGACCACAGGAGACTGAATTGGCCTGGGGGAAGCCAGGGGCAGAGGCCAGGAAGGACAGAGCCTACACAGTGGGGAGGGATACAGGGTAGAACAGTACGGCTGAGTCAGCATCAGGAATAAGACCCAGGAGAACGTAGAAGCCACAGGACAGCCACTCAGCCACCAGTTCACGGCCACGTGAGAAATGGTAGCCCAATCACTGGGTTTGAACTGCTGACTTTTTGATTAAAGCTGGATACTTAACCACTGTGTCACCAGGGCTCCTGGTAGCAATAAGCATACCTCACACCCAGATCTTTGTTCATTGTGATTCTCTGATAAAAGAAACCAGAGTTGCTTGTGCAAAAGTATGAATAGACAAATAAAACAAGAAAAGGACAAGAGGAGTTTTGAACACTGTGAGTAATACAGAAACTGTGACAGAGACATGTTCAGGAAGACAGGACTCTCCTTTCCTTCAAGGAGTTCCTAGTTACCAAATCTGGGACCAAATGCACAAGAAAAGAGGGGAAATGTAATATAGATTAGTCCCAATGGACAGTGCCTAGGTGAGAAATGTCCAGTTTACCTACAAGCCACAGTCACGAACCAACCACCACAAAGCTTATCCCAAATGAAGACTGCCTCCTGTAGGAATTCAAGGCCCCCATCTCCTGCTTCTTCATGGCACCTTGTCTGTCTGTGGCTCACTCTCATGGGCAGCCCCTATGACATCATGTTTGGAGCTGTGCAGGGACACGTTCAGTTCTCTCCCCCACCTACCCCTCCCCACAATGTTGGCTTGTATGCACAAAGCCCATGTGGGCGGTCTCTGGGCACCCACACCTTGGGCATGGGGGAGGTATA